GTATATTTAACTTTTTAAATACCCGACGTTTCGACCGCTTTACAGCACTCATGGTCACGGGCGGGACTGAGATGTTCAACGTCCATATGTCATAGTTAACCGCGGTTACCATAGATTAAAATTTAACTTTTGTTCCGATCTATACAGTACGAACTTATGGTATCTTGAAGTCTTGCAGTTGTATGCTTGGGTTGGGATTTAATTTTATTTATTATAGGATCCCAAGCAGATGGTAGCACCCAGCCATCTACTCTATTGAAATTAGGATGTTTTTTGATTTCAATAGCTTCAAGAATCGCGAGGCTATTGAAATTCGTAGGTATTATCCATTTTACGTCCAGATTTAATTTTTCGGATTGTTTCTAGGTCAGTATGTAGGTCATTAGTTGTTTTTAGTGTGCTATTTGTTGGGTCGTTTTTAACCTTTTTATAAGTACTTACATCCGACAAAAGTTCTTGTATTTTAGAATTATTATCTGACGTATCCATGAATACCGTGGCGTTTCCCTTATCTGCGCGGAGAATCGTAAGTTCTGGTTTATTGCGTAGGTTCTTTAACACTATAAATTCGTCTTTAGGAAGATTCGGTTTAGGCACTAAACATCGACGTAACATAGACGAAATGTCTTGTCGTATCGCCTCCAAATCTTCTTTCCGCATATTGTTTTTAAATAAACAGTCCTCGACACTACAGATAATTTATTCGTACGGTAATTTGCGTGTACCTGCTGTACTGCCATATGTTAGAGGAGTCACTGACAATATTGGCTACATCTTGAACCGCGCTTCCATCAAAACATACTTCAAGCCGGTGAAGAAGATTGGTCAGTTTTTACCATCAGTCAAGTGTAATGTCCCTCTGCAAGATGCAGGAGTGTACAAGCTTGATTGTGATTGTGGTCTCTCCTACATAGGACAAACTAAAAGATCAATAAAAACCCGCGTTAAAGAACATATAGCTGATGTGAATAATCGACGCTCCGGGAAGTCTGCAGTCTGTGAACACGTACAGGATCGCCCCCGTCACTACATCAGATTTGATAGACCGCAAATCCTCGCTAAAGAACACAGATTACTTCCAAGGATGATTCGCGAGGCTATTGAAATCAAAAAACATCCTAATTTCAATAGAGAAGATGGCTGGGTGCTACCATCTGCTTGGGATTCTATAATAAATAAAATTAAATCCCAACCCAAGCATACAACTGCAAGTCTTCAAGATTTTTTTTTGTTTTATAGAATAGGGTGACAAACGAGCACACAGTCCACCTGATGGTAAGTGGTTGCTGCGGCCCATAGACATCTACATCTATCCTCCATTAAAAATCAAAATGCAGATGCGTTGTCACCCGTGAGGACTGAGATGGAATGCCTCGTTTCCAGTAAAAAGGGTCTCCGGTTCTCTACACTCACCATACGAAATACAGCAGCATTAAGCTACTATTTCACGCTGGTATTCTGTGAGAGCGTGGTCCTTCCCCGGTCGAGCCGACCCATTCGTGCTACAACTATACTACTAATATAACTGCAGCATGGCTCTACCACGTAAAAAACTTCAAGATACCATAAGTTCATACTGTATAGATCGGAACAAAAGTAAAATTTTAATCTATGGTAACCGCGGTTAACTATGACATATGGATGTTGAACATCTCAGTCCCGCCCGTGACCATGAGTGCTGTAAAGCGTTCGAAACGTCGGGTATTTAAAAAGTTAAATATACGCGATAAATTACGTAAAAACTAGTATTATTTCAACGTGTAGTGTTCGCGTAAATATAAGAAATCATTAATTTCTCTATTAAAAATACACATTAATTACTATAATACTGACATATTTATAAAAAAGGAACTTAAATTATAACTGCCTTGTACCTTTTATACCACATATGTAAGTAATAGTACTTAATATTTTTAAAATATTGTTGAATTGAAATAAACTGTGAAGTTGCTATTAAGTGTTACTTTTCTTTATAAATTGTTTATGAATTTAATTATACTTATTAATTTAATTAATTTTTATTATAGTAATTAATGTATATTATAAAAATATACATTAATTACTATAATAATGGTTAAATTTATATAAAAGAAGTCAAAAAATTATAACTACCTTCTATGTTTTATAATAGGTCTCCATGTAACTGTGTGCTGGCGACTAACTAGAAATCAGAAATCACAGGTAGTACTTTTCTTTAAATGTATTGTGTTTGAAGAAAAATTCAAGTTTAAAGTTTTGAACGATGTGGCTCATCGGTCTCCTTACCAACTGCATAAAGCAACTATTTTTTATTAACTGTTTTGAGATGTGGGTGCAAATAATATGTATTCAAATTGTAATGTGATACGATGCAGGCTTGCACTGATGTTAAAGGTTAAAAATTGAATGTAGAAACAGTGTTAGTTTGTAAATTTAAAAAATCAATTAAAATTAATTTTCTCTATTAAGTTCGAGTACGTTTAGCTGGGACAAATAGTCCAACTAGGTAAATCCAACTTCAACCGAGAAGTCAATCGACGGATTCAACTCGGCTGGGCACCGTTCGGAAAATTACGACACATCTTCTAGTCAGGTTCACGGTTATCGGGTTGCCCGGGCCGGGTAATTACGACGTCACCGGCGCAGGTGGTGGTAACGCGAACCGTACATGCGCAGCTACCATATTCGCTGCACTGTCAGCGTTACTGTTGCGTGGTGTTGCTTCGTTACTATCACATTCCTTTAACACAATATGCAGGCTTTAATCTGTCGATAGAAATATCTACCTGTCTATCGGGTAGCACGAATTCCAGAATGGCTTAAATTATTTACGCCCGAACCTAATATTCGATCTTAATCTATTTTTAGCTATCCAAGATTGATAATTCAATCCATTTTATGGTTAGACAGTGCCAACAACCAATCCAGGGATTAAAATTACAATCTGTAGAAGCAAGCTATCCTCGAGAGGTCGGATTACAAAAAAAGATAGACCTCTGTGGGCGAATGACAATTTGTGTGTATCAATAATCTATCTGTCAATTTTGACGTTTAGTTCGATCGGTGTAAACAATAAATCCAAATTTCCAAATTCGCAATCCAAGAAAAGCCTAGGATTAATCCTTCGAGTTCTAACCGATTACGTATTTTGTTTTATTTTATTTGCGCGAAAATGGATTTAACATTACCATCTAGTGACAGTGACAGTGATTTGGAAATGCTAGCTCAGTTATCTGACTCGAGTGATGAAGATGAAACCCTACGCCGCCCTCCAAAGAGAATCAGAAGAGTGAACTATACGCAAAGTCTCGATGACGGTGATTTTACCTTTAGGTTTCGATTGAACAAACATGCGTTCAATTCTTTATTGTTAGAAATAACCCCATTATTACGAGTAACATCTACGAGGTAAAGCAAAGCTGGTCTATAGCAAATTAGATAATTTTTTACAATCTATATCTAAAATCAATATACTTCATTTTATGTAAACCTTTGCAGAAATTACGTAGTATCACCATTGCATCAACTTTTGTTGACCCTACGATTTTATGCACTAAGCACAATGTTGATATCCATAGCAGATTTTGTTGGAGTGTCAAAATCTATAGCAGGTAGAATAGTGCGGGACACATCATCAGCAATTGCCCAATTATATGATAATAAATATATTTATGTTCGTCGAAGGAGTGCAGACAAATTCTATAGAATTGCTGGATTTCCTCGTGTGCTTGGGGCAATTCATGGCACATATATCCGCATGCAGTCTCCATGTAAGTAACTATACTCAACTCTTAAAATTTTGGCAAATACGAACTATGAAGTTGCTAATAATAATGTTTATATATTTTAGGTCATTTAATAGGCAAAAGAATACAGAAATCGGAAGGGTTACTTTTCTTTAAATGTTCAAGGTGTTGGTGATGCAGATTTAGAATTTATAAATGTTGTGGCTCGTTGACCTGATTCTACGCATGATGCAACTATATTTAATAACTCTATTCTGAGAGGTAGGTGTAAATAATATGTATTCAAATTGTAATAAATTTGAATATTTACTGTCAGAGCCTAATATTCTTTATTTTTATAACAGCTGAATGTGATGCAGGGCAATTCGGAAATCGCTGGTTACTTGGAGATAGTGCCTATCCAAACAGGCTATATTTATTAACACCGTTTCTGAATCCGGTTTCTAAAGCTGAACATAGGTACAAAGAAGCACAGATTAAAACTAGAAATACCATTGAACGGTATGTTAAATAAAACAGTATTATTAGATAAAATGTGTTATGGGAATACTGGGAATATTTGGATTATGGAAACGTAGGTTCCCTGTTGTTGCTCTTATACTACGTTTGTCAATATCAAATATGCAGGCAGTAATAATAGTAACTACAGTCCTACATAATATTTGCAGAAATCACAATCTCACAGAAATCCCTCTGAGTAGAATTACCATCTACCGACAATATTACAATGCCTCATAATGTAGTTGTTAATGATATTCCTACAAACCATAAAACTGATTTAATAAATACATTTATAAAAAAGAATTTAATTTGCAACTACCTTTTCCTCCTTTTATACCACATATCATCCACATAATAGTCTCCAAGTAAGTAAAAATACTTACCCTTTTTAAATTTTTGTTCAATTTAAACACAAGTTGCTAATAATAATGTTTATATATTATAGGCTATTTAGCAGGCGAAGAACTCAGAAATCGCAAGTGTTACTTTTCTTTATGTTTTGTGAATTTAATTGTAAAAATAAAACAAATATTCAATACAAATGATTTTAATATTCTTTAATTTCTATATTACTAAGACATTAATCTACCTTTAATACATTTATCACATACATATTTTATTAGTTTAAAAGATTTTCAAATACAAACTATATAACTACTAATATTACAAATCATGAATACATATACAAGGCTTGAATTTATTAACAACTACTTACAGACATTGACTGTCTTTTATATATCAAAATACATAATTATTTTTTACACTTACATACTATTACACAAATAACTGTTTCTTAAAATTTTCTATTTCTAATAAAAGTTTTTCATTTTCTAATTTAAGTTTTTTATTTTCTAATTTTATATTATCTAATTTTGACTCTAGGCACTGTTTTTTTAAAGGTATAATATTCTGCAATGGCAAAGTCTCTAGCAGATATGGACCCATCATTCTGCAATTTCCTTTTACCTATAAAACACAGATTAATTTAATTTATTAAATTACAAGCTATATATCCTTTTTAAATAAAAAAGGAGTATATCTTTGGCATATTACTATTTTACCTCAATTTACACTGCTTTTAAACTAAAGCGGACTACAAGTTAGTCACCATACCACTACCTCAGTGAACGGCACACCATGTGAAGTGGTTATCTTATAAATTAAAATTCTGTGAACATCAAAATAACCATTACCTGTTTTAGGAACATTGTATATTACTCTCCGTGGTGTATCCGAAACTTTAATTTGTTCAGCAACAGCACAGGTGTTAACCTGAGTCATTGCTGAATGTGGAGAAGTAGGGGTCACAACCGTTTCCATTTGTGGATCTGGTACTGGTATGTCCTGAAACTCTAGGATTTCTTGATTGACCCTAGCATCACCACCTAATTCCTCTACACCATCACCATTTGGCAAAATACCACCACCATTACAAATCACTACAAAGTGGTCAGGTTCCTTATCTCCCCCATAAGGAACAACTAATCCACTGGCTGTATTCCCCAATAAACTGGTAATACGATCCAGTATTTTGTCTGGGGGTATATACTCACCAACACCACCGCCAGTCTGCAAATCAAAAAGATGAAATTAATAAAGAATGTAAATAAAATTGATGGTTATTTATTTATACTTAGATTAAAAATAAATAAACAATGAAACTCACTTTTATGGTGTTCATTCTTATTTTGGTGCAACGTTTACGTGCATTCTTCTTTAAATTCTTCCACTTCAGCCAAAGCTGTTGTGGTGTCCGACGACAATTTGTTGCCGTAGCATTAAACTGCTCGGCTATTCGCACCCACTCCCTGTCTTTCATTTTATTGCTGCTGGCGTTTGTGGCTTTAGACATTATAATTTTGCTCATTTCAATGAGTTCGAGTAAAGCTTTGTTTTCATCTTTAGAAAGTGGCTTGCTCTTTATCTGAAATAAAAAGCGATATATGTTGTTGTACGGGCTGGAAAAGATACGTATTGCCACCAAGCATCATACAATATACTCATACAATATCTAATGCAATATAACTTACTATTTGTGTCTCCATTATTTTGTTATTCGCAAAGCATTTGCTGTAAATATTTCTGTTCCAAAGTTTAGTTTAATTCGAAAGAATATAAAATAAATAGATAGGTCTCTTCTGAGTATGGCAAATTCAAATAGTGTACATATTTCTTGTTTTAGGGAAGTGTTCAATTTATATGTTTTGTGGCGTAATGATGTGGTATATACGTACGTATATAATTGTTACAGCACTTTACTTGGTATAAAACTTTTGATCGATCAATTATATTTTTTTTATTTTCCTACCTTTAATGCATTTTTACTACTTTATTAATTTTACTACATGAACTCATAAGTGAATCACATTTTTAGGCATAAATCACGGTGTACAGTATAATGTCATATTTGATTAAATATTCTACATCGTACCTACTACACAAGACGACGCACTGTTATAAATTACATGTGTGTCTTTTACGCTTGCGATAGTTGAATCATGCCATCCTTCTTTGACGTCTAATCCTAATGTGGTGTGTTATTGCAATATTTAGTTATTTATGTGTGCGTTAGTGGGCTGTTCTTGAAGATAAAATATTGTGTAAGTAACCTATCTACACTTTTTTTACTTTTAATATAATTGATATTTCTTTTTTTTGTCGTTATTTGTTACAAGTCTACGAAACCTGGATTTATTTCTACTACTAAATTTAAAAATTAGTATATTGTTAATTTAGTTTCAAAATTAAAACTTCTAGTGGCATTTATTATTGTTCAAATGTTTGTTTGTTAATATTTGCTGATTTTAAAGTTTGCATTCGGCATAAAAATTATTTTCACAAATTTATCATAGCGTTAGTACCACTATTGTCCTTTGAGTTAGTACCACAATTGACCTTTGGGGGTGGCATGTTCGACGTAATTTAGTTTGCATGAACAGATGGCGTTAAGCGTTGTTTGTATCGCGATGTGGTTTGACTAACACGGTTTTGCTTAAGAGCCCTCTTACATTTCGGCGTTACGCAAATTTAGATATTTTACGCTCCGAGCGGGCGATGACCTATGCGAGCGATATTTTATTTCATATTTCTATTCAGTTGCCCGCACTACTGTGAGTATTAGAGGTACTGTGAGTATAGCGACTAAACGATCATGATTTTCCATTATACAAGTTTTCTTAGAATGGAGTTCGGTGGATAGAAATTTTTTTGATGTGTCATTTTTATGTTATCTAACTTTATCTAATTAATTTATTATAAAATATTTGATATATTTTTCATTATTTATGAACCTTAGTGTTGAAATGAGTACACATAAATATTTTAATTTTGTTCTCAGTAATCGATTGTTAACTGATGTTGGTTAATAATAGATTATATCTATTAACGGTAGAATAGTGATATAAATAAATAAATAGTACGATTGCAACCTGTTTTAATAAATAAAATAACGAACTGGAACTAATATTTTATTAATCGGTTCTTACAGTCAATTACCATATTTTTTATTATAAAATATTACCAACGGCATTGACCGATTTTATCTCGAGTAAATAATTTCAGGCAGTACACACTTTTTATAAAACGTTTGTAACTTGGTTAATATATTCAAAATCCAAAATTCGTCGTCTTTGTAGATTTTTATTACCTTTACTGCATAATCTAGGCCGGTTCATGTGGTAAGCATGCAGATATTTTTACTCCATTATTTTTTTCCAGAAATAGGATACTTCTTTTTTTACGTTTAATGACACATTCATACTTGTATTTATTTTTCCACATTACGACTGGTAAAAAAGCTCAGCTAAAATCGAAATAACTATAACGAATTAATCATCTGGTATGATAATAATGTGCGAACTGTATACTAATTGAAATATACTGTACGAAAGTAAATACTTCGAACGATTAAAAATTGCGGGCGTAGTTGACGATGCTCTAGCACAAAATAGCAGCACCACAATCATATAGTAGTAGAGAAAACGAACTATTTTTACCAAGTAATTACCATTTCAAGAAACGAACGGAAAACATATAATTTCAACGAGGAATCCTTGTAATTTATAATTTTTTTCGTACTCCTCTTAAGGGCCGTAAAATAATTTTTATTAAGGGTGATCTATAGTGTATGGCAAGAGATAACACTATATATAGTATTGTTACGCGCCTAAGTTGACTTCAGGTACCTGGCACTAGCGTCATCTAGTGTCGGGGACCAGAGCGAGGAGGGCTTTCCAGAAAATGGCATGACTAATCTTTCAACCAACAGCGCCATCTAGTATCGAATTGAAGAAATAAGCTTTCTAGAAGCCCCACACTCGAACTTTCTGCGTCTGGTCAGTCGGCGCCCGTATCTACCGGAATATTTTGGATGTTTCGGTAGAAAATGCGTATTTGAGCCGCTGCAAGCCGCTATCGGAGCAGTATTGAATTTGGCGAGACAAGCGAAGCTTCGGAGCGAAATAAAGTGAATCAGTGTGATCAATTATTAGTGTCTTTTAAAATTTAATTGGTGTTCGGTAATAAAAGTATAAGTTTTGGTAATTCAATCGGCAGTTTTTATTATAACGAACCTCAAGCTCGTAACAATTGGTGTCAGAAGTGGGATAAAAATAATGCCGATTTTACCTAAGGAGGAGACGGAGGGTGTCCGTACCTGAAATCAACGCCAGCAGGAGGTGGACCAGAGAAGGTTTGGTGGTGCAACGCCGCTGACGTCAGGGGGCCAACTGCCAACCACGAAGGCTGGCCCGTCAGCAGCTCCTACACCTGCAGCACCTGACTTAGGTGCTCTCATGATGATGTTGCAGGAACAGGCCCGCCAGCAGGCGAAACAGGCACGCTGATTGAAAGAGCAGCTGCGGGGCGGACAGGAGGAACAGGCCCGTTGGTTAAAAGAGCAACAGGGGGGAACAGGACCGCCGACAGAAGAAACAGGCCCGTTGGTTGAAAGAGCAGCAGGAGGAACAGGCCCGCTGACAGGAGGAAAAGGCCCGTCAGTTGAAAGAGCAGCAGGAGGAACAGGCCCGCCGACAGGAGGAACAGGCCCGCCAGCAGGCGGAACAGGCACGCCGATTGGAAGAGCAGCTGCGGGGCGGACAAGAGGAACAGGCCCGTTGGTTGGAAAAGCAGATGCTCCCACATGAAGGACCTTTACGCTACCTTCGGGAAGGAGAAGAAGGAGGTGAAGGATAAGGTTGCTCAACATGACAACCGCCTGTCGAAAGCTGAAACCCGAATCGCGAAAGCTAAAACCCGAATCGACCAAGTAAACGATCGGGTTGACAACGTAATGGCTGACATGAAGAAATCACTGGACGAACTCAAACTTGGGGATGGAACTACAGCTCCCGTAGTAGATACAACACCTTCGCTACGTGGATTCAAAGTGCCGCCGTCCGACGGGACTTCTTCCTGGTCGGCCTACAAAATCCAGTTCGAGGCCGTCATGGAGACGAACGGCTGGAATAAAAGCCAGGCCATGACTGCACTCACCCTAGGCCTACGCGACCAAGCCTTAACTGTGTTGGAAGCTCTCGGTAAGAAAGTGACCTACGAGCAGCTCTTTGAGGCATTGGAGGCGAGATATGGCAACGCTCACCTGGAACACGTCTTTCGCGCGCAGCTTAAAGATCGCGTGCAACACAGCAACGAAAACCTGCAGCATTGGGCCTTTGAGGTAGAGGAGAAGATGGTGCGAAAAGTATACCGGTATATACCTGCGCTCATTGAAGGGAACCTGGTGCAGACATTCATCGACAGCATCCGCGACCTTGAAGTCAGAGCTGCTGTAAGGCTCGGGCACCACGAGACGCTTAAGGACGTCTTGGCTCATGCACTGGAGGTGAAAACCGTGCGGCAGGATCATCGTTCCCATCGTGTAAGGGAGGTTTCAGTAGCTACAGTTCGCGACTGCAATAATGGATACAGCCCTAGATGCTATGGCTGTAGGGAAAGGGGCCATCTCCGATCCAGCTGCCCTAAGCGAACTGTAAAAAGGGAAGGTGATCGATCTCGAGAGGATAGTGCAGCTAACGGCACCGCCTGGCAGCGGCAGGATCATCGTTCCCCTCACGTTAGGGAGGTTGCAGCAGTTACGGTTCGCAACCACAATAAAGGATACAGCCCTAGGTGCTATGGCTGTGGGGTAAGGGGCCATCTTAAATCCAGCTGCCTAAGCGAACCCTAGAAAGGGAAGGTGAACGATCTCAGAACGGACGTGCGGCTAACAGCACCGCCCACCAGCAGCAGGAATACGACTTCACTATCAGAAACTGCAGCGGGAAATAGCGAGGCAACACAGATGCGTTGTCAAGAAGACCTTGTCCTGAAGACTGCAAACATTGTGCCAGGCAAGAGAGTAAGGAAGTTGTATTCGTGAGGATGCTCAGGACAGACCACCTCAGCAATGAGTGGAAAGACAGCTTACAACATGCACAGTAGGAAGATCCGGACATCAAGCTGATTCTGCAGTGGATGAAAGCCAGTGCTTCCAATCCCCAAGTGGAGCGACGCCTCAGCAATGAGCTCGACCACGAAAAGCTATTGGGCCCAATGGGACAGATTGCTGATTCAGGATGGAGTCCTGTGCCGTAAATGGGAAAATGGTAGAGGACACAGCTGTCGTTTGCAAATGGTTGTCCCTAAAGCTAAAGTGCCGAATGTTCTACAGCTGTACCATTATAGATGATGGTCCGCTATCTTATATACACCTATATGTAATTAAGGTCCCTTCACATATAAATAAAATGTTCGTAATCACTTTATGAACTTATTTATTACGGACACAATTCTTTACACTTTTGCGACTGATAATCAACACTAATTAAGTTCGGCACGAAATATTACGTAGTCAGTAACTAGCAGCGA